ACAGTCAGTTAATAGCCCATATTTAGCGCTTCCTACTTCCTCCTGATGCTCCAGCCGCGTTACACACACTTCTCTGCATGCAGAACAGCTTTGTCACAAGAATTGTCTTTGTTAACACTCACTTGAATTAGCCAAAGATTCTTTTCCATGATTCAGCACATACATTCTCTAATCAGATCTGTGATTCCAGTAGGAAAAGGACAAACCACTTTGTGAAATGAAGAAGAGTTGAATTTTGAAAACTGAGACCCAACTGGCATTTAGTTTTACTACCCTGGATTTAAACTATAAAACATTCTCAATTCTTCGCAAGTATCCCTTATGTGTACTTCCCCCCAATAAAGAGAAGACCACTGATGACAAAGGGACAGCAGGACACTGAAGGGAATCTCAGGAGGGACCCTAAACACTCATGAACATTTTTAATTATGAAGAATTTAAGTTTAATACCCTATCTCTAAGGTCAGGAGTCCACTGAGAGGATTTTTCAAATACCACCATCATTAACTAATTAATCAATAAATGCCAAACTCATTAGATTTTTATGCGCCCAGAAAACTATCGTACCAAAGAAGAGCTGTGATAAAAATCAGTGTTTACCAGGAAGAGGTGGTGCCAGAAGCTGGTTGGATAGCAACTGCAGGTGCTCCAGAGTGATATCACGGATAGCAGGAATATGGAACAGACGAGTGAACATATGTGGAGATTTGGGGGCAAAAATATTGAGGAGAGCCATACGGCAGTAGAGCTTGGCCAGAGAAGCTTCACTTCGCAAGAGCTCTCTAGAAAACACAAATATCAAAACATAAAATTGCTTCACGGTATTTAAAATAAGCCGTATCCAGCAACCTGCCCCTGAATCCAAACATGTATATCTAATTATTTAAAAGGTTCAAGCAGACCCAAATCTTTCTCATTCACTTAAGACAGCACTCAGCCCATCTCATTCTGGCATATTAAGGCACCTGAATTAGAAGCCAGATCTCCACCAAGGCAGTCGAGAGTTCTTGAGCTTTTAGACAGCAACTGACTGATGGTACAAGAAACCTGAGCTTTAAGGTAGGTACCTGTTAGACCACCCTGTATAAAACATTTTCACATGACTAAGGAAAATCCTTCCAAGACGACAATTATAACCAATTTCCTTTATTACAAAATAAAAAAAAAAAAAATCAAAACCCTACTACCCATTAAAACATGAAGATTTAATGAATTTTGTCAGCTTTAATCCAACAACTACAAGAAGATTCAGAAGTTTACTACTGCTCAAAACAAGGTTGTAGGAGAGAGTGGTACTATAGGAAGTGCTATAGATCAAGTCAGATAACACACATGCTTTCTAAACACATTTGTTTTTTTACCTGTGAATTTGGATGTTGGTATTATCCAGGGTAACCAGCCCATTTGTTGCAGTCCTCCTATACCCAGCGGGTGGCCTTTCTAACATGTCAATAGGGTACCAGTATCTTACCAGAACTCCCTCGCTTCTGAGATACGTCTCTACTTGTACCAATTCATTTACCTGGAACACCAAAACCAACACTCTCAGTAAGCATAGTCATGGTATTTGTTTTTTTTTTTCCTTCAAAAAGAGCCCCGAATCAGCATTCTAAGCAGCTGATCATATTTGCTCACAGGTGTGTGATGCTGATACACTGAAAGCCCTCCCAATGCATCCTTACTCACTGAATCAACATCCAGAACAACACCATGAAGACCAAATGTCTTCAGCATCCCACGAATAGCAAATTTGGGTAAAGCTGTTCCCACAGCACTACTGGTGACGTTGTTACTGTCAGGAGAGCGAGTCACCACTGTGAGACCTGGACGGAAAGGGACAACACAATTTTTAAGGTACAGCTTTTTCCTCGGATTGACAATTTATGCGCTAGAGCCCAAGCACCAGAGCCTCTTAGCTTTTATTTTCCCCTCAAGATACTTTTTGCTGACCTTACCTTTTCGTACTTTATCAATTGTAAATTTGTTTGCTTCATCTTTGATATCCTCGATAGTAGGAAGGTAGAGGTCTCTTGGGATGCCACCGTTTTCCTCGTAGAGGAATTCTACAGTTTGTCGTGCTATATCAACCATTCCTGGCAGACAGAAGGCAGTGCTAGTTATCTTACCCAGCCACTTGAAGTAAGTTCTTATTAACATTACAGGCAGATGAGCTATCATTTATAAACCCCCCTCTTAAAGTGTTCCTCAAAGGTTTTGCCTTGATATAGTCACAGACAGAAAACACATGTAGATAATTTCTTCCCAAACTATTATTCCAAAATACTTCTGTATCCACATCACAACAGCACAACAAATTCTGCCACCATTGCTAAAGCCATTTTCCCTATGTAAGTAGTCCAACTTAAATAAAAGTCTCAAAGAAAAATCATGACCCCAAACCAAGTTTTAAGCACTTGATGAAAACAGAAAGTGAATTTGTTTTTCTTTAATCTAAATTTTCCAGCCCTGAATACATAAGAAACACAGGTGTTATCTTCACACTTATTGCACATTATATAAAACAACACGCGTGGAAATAACCACAGCCATACCTAACTGTAAAGCTCCTTTAATCTGATCCAACCCAGACTTCCTCTCAGCCTCATTCCGGAATCTTCTTCGAATTGTAGGGAACTCGATGTGCACTTAGAACTTTATTTTCCCGGGCTTTAACCAAGAGGGCATAGTGATCCTCCTACAAAGACAAAATTTATTTAGAAGACCAAGAACAAGAGCATCTTCCTTAAGGAAGCAGGGAAAACCTTTGTGTGGCAAAACATAAAAATCAGAATTACAAGCTCTGTATTTAGACTACAAGTTACAGCAGGCAGAGCTTGCCATGCTCCTCACCCGGGGAATATCATCGTCGTCGTCATCATCACTTTCATCATCAGCAATAGGAGGGGGATGAGGATCAGGGCCTGATGTGATGAAGTTCTCATAGCTCAGTTCCATTTTGTAGTGGCAAGATGTGTCACTGTCATATTCTGCAAAACACACGTAGAAGTGATGAGATCATAAAGCACTAGAATGCATGCAAAAATATTCCATGAGCTTTCTGAGATAGATTGCACTCCACGGCCTCCCATCAGCGTGTGGCAGTGCAATGCATTTTGACACAGCGTAACCAATCGGCTGATTCAATCAACTACAGCATCTTATTGTATTCAAAGCCCTAATAAAATAATTTCTCATTATAGTTGCAATTAATTGAGAATAATTTGTGCATCCATATAAAGGAAGACCAAAGTGAGATTATTTTAACTGCCTTGTCTAAAATCAAACAGGCACGTATTCGACAGTGCTTGTTGTACTGCTTTACCTAAACAGGCAGTGCCTGAGACCTGCAGCCAGGATGTGCCTAAACATTTAATTATTGCAATTTCTCCTGAAAGAGATTTTTTAAAAACGGTTAATCATCACTTTACGTTGTTGAGCAGTAGCAACAGCAGCAATTCTACAAGGAGGTCCGTGGGTCCCAGGATCAGAAGCTATGCTGGTGCCAGCATCGTTATCGCTATCAGAAGCCATGGCAAAAGGCAGTGCTTCAAAGTTGGCGCTTATTTCTTCAGCCAGGTCAATGCAGAGATCAGCAGCGTTCCTGTGAGCCTGCCCTTCGGCATAGGCAAACTGTCGAGATCCAAAGTTAGCACGGACTTTGGTGTTCTGAAAGAAGACGCACATGAAAGCATTAAGATGAGCTGTGGATTGTTTTGATCTCTCTCTTTGCTCTTTTCACAACCCCAGCCGAAGGGATGAGCTGATCACATCTCCAGGCCATACGTTCTTCCCGGCACTGCTAGCTATAAAACTGGATGCAGCACGGAAAGTATTAAGCTGCTAAACACCAACTTTGAACTTTCCTTTCTTCTAGCTTCAAGATACAGCACACTTAACTAGTACACTCTGAAGCAAGGTCACTGCCAGGAAGGAATACTAATAGAGGGGCTACCAGCACAGAGTAACGCCATCTGATCAAGCCAGCTGCACATTAACGTCCTAATGGGCAGAAAAAGTTCAAAATAATGACAAAACACATATGTGCACTGGGAAGGGTAATGGAACACCTCAACCTAACTCAATAAGGGTAAAAGCTATCACTCCACTGTTTTATAGATGGGTAAGCAGGCTCAATACTTTCTATAGAATATTTTTAATATTGCTGAAAAAAATATCAAGCAACATATTTCTGTTTAAAACTTGCCTTTTTCTGAATGTGGACCACTGGCCACATTCCACCAGAGACATCTTCCAGATACGGCCCAAGTCGCTGCCCACAATACGTAAAATAAACTCTGCCTTTAGCGGGCTGCCCTGGAGGAGGTGGAGTTCCTTCTGTTCTCTCCCATCCAATTCCTGCTACATCACCTGTAGAAAAACACAACCATCAAAAGAAGAACATGGATTTAATCTATTTTCTCATCCACCATTTCCCTTACATTTAGGAGATTTTCTGATCTACCAGAGGAGCAAGTTAGCTGTACTCTTACATACCAGGAGAAAGAGTCACATCCAATCTAACACTCTTCCACTGCAGCAAGCTGGAGCCATTGTAATGCACTGCTCGCCCATTGCTAAGAAGTAACAAAAGAAGAAAATTAAAAAGAGCACCAAAATAAGGATTACAACTTGCTACCAGCTGAAGTCTAGGTAGCTGTGATACTGACAAAAGGCAACTCAACTCTCCCTTTTGGATAATGAGATATTCTAGTTCATCATTTTAACGTTTCAAATAACAATGTGCTCACAATACTCCTTCCTAACAAGCTTAACAAATGAGCTGAGCAAGATCATGATTTTTGATGGACATTTCCAACATACTTGTGAAAAAGACAGGTGCCCACTGGGTTTGTCCAAGCACCATCCCGTTTTTCTGCTTCAGTAGCAAATCCGAATGAAACTATTGGTCCAGTGTCGTCATCTGTATCTCCATAGGAAACTATTTCAATTTCCCAGTAAAAGGATGGTGCCTAGAAATAAAAATAAGAATAATTTTCCAAAATTATTTACAAAACATAGGTAGAATAGAAAAATTTATTTCTTTTTATTTTCATGCACTATTGAATATTAAATGACACAATCTGTTGTACAGTTATGAGTTCCTACCTGTACTGGAACTGGGGAAGTGGCATAGATAAATGTGCCCCGAGGAAGTCCCCCACCAGCGCTAGGATCAGCCAAAAAGGTCACAGCTGTGAGATGTGATGAAAACATGCATGCTCGCACAGGGGGAAACACTCTTGATGGGCTCCAAGTGATTTCCTTGGGCTACGAACAGGAACAGAGTGTTTTATTATAACACCCATGCAACTACCATAACTACAATCACAACAAATCACACCCCATTACAGAAATTCACATTAAAGGAAATGTTTAAATAGGAATCCAACCAGTTTGGCTCCAAAACCACCAGCAGACCCTCTGTACTCAGTGGCTGGCTTCCCATGCAAGGGCCAGAAGCCTCAGCGCCGTTTCTGTGCTCACCTGCCTTCTGTCTGCTTGGAGTGGAGGAGGCGGGGGCCGAGCACAGTCACGATACAACATTCGTAACCGTTCACACTGCATTTCTACAACAAGGAGCCTCTCCCCTGTAAAAACAAACCAAACCAAGTCAGGAGGCTCCAAGCAAACCTAGTTACTTGAGTCCAGCAATGAAATCTTAACACTGGCACACAAAAACAAACAGGACATTTGCATTGTAAGAGATCTATTCAAATAGCCTCACCTACCCATCACAAAATTGGAGACAAAAATCTAACGTATACAAGCCCTTGTTTTCCTCATGTTTCATTTACATTTGGTTAGTATTGTTATATTAAGATAAAGTTCACTTTAGTGAGCGAGCAAGTTTATGACCCAGCAAAAGCAGGAAGTCAAAAGAATTTACACCTAATGTAAAAAAATCAGCACACTTCCTTTTGTATGGGGGATGATACTGAAATCCACTTGGTTCCTACCCTAACATCCTTTGCTTCAGCCACTTTTCCTCCAGTGAAAGGCTCTGACATGTTACTAAAACTTGCCCTTGAACTAAGACTTCTGCTGGGCGCACTGCTTACCCTTAAACAAGAGGGACGGTACTGTCCTGTTGTACTACCACTGCTGTATCATAAACTCTAAGCAGCTGGAGGACAAAACACTGAAATGATTTTTAAAAGCTGTTATGTCTCTAAGCCGAATACAACAGTGAAGCTGCAAGAACGTGCTGAATACCTACCAGGGCTGCACTCCTGTGCTACCAAATTAAGAACTTCTACAGCAGCTGGACACTGTTGAATGAACTCTTCACAGAATGAGCTGTCTTCTAACAGCTGAGCCATCACCAGGCATGCTCTTAACAGAAAAATAATACATTTAAAGCATTACAAAAGTGTACGCTGAATTCCAAGGTGTCTCTACATGTACTGAATTAAAGACTGTTTGAAAAGACAGCATGCAGACTGAGCTGTTTCTTTGTCTGGGTGCTTAGCATCCACTGGAACTCCCACAATGACAGCTTTACTCTGCTTAACAGCTTTCACCTGGACAAAGCATTTGCTCGATGCATTGCCCGTGTTACGGGGGCACTTTATTTTTGGGGCTCATTTTAACAACATCAAGGCACTAAATGTACTTGAGGAAACAAACAAGAATTTTTGCATTGTCCCCTGCTGTCATTTGTCAATATCAATAGAGAAAGAAAACAAGAACTCATGTGATTTTCCTGAATATTTGTGTACAGTGTCAAAACAGATCGGGCTGCTGCACAGAACCCAACCACTCACCTGGTTCTTATTTCAGCAAGAAGCCGGACCACTGCCATTACTGGAGTTGAGCCATCTCCTGTTGCAGGAAGTGAGGTGTGAATAGATAGACTTCCCTCCTGAGGGAGCAACATGGACTGGACTGCCTGTACTACCTTCTCAGTAATGGACAGTTTATGAAGAGGCAATGCCTGATGGTGGGGGGGCACGGTAAAAAGTTAAATTCAAGTAGTTAGTTTCTAAGAAATGAGGGCGTTTTATTACCTGGAGTTAATTCTCATTTCGTACTATCACAAAACCAGCACCAAACACCAGTCAAAAAAAAAAAAAAGAAAAAACGGAAACAAAACCAAAAAACCAACACAGTGTGCAATAGAACATCTTTAAGCACCAAAAGATGAATATTCATGTTACTTGAATGAGAACTTAAATATAGATATTGTTAAGATATGTTTAAAATCATGAGGCAAATTTTACAAATAATACTTAATCAAAGATGAAACAGACTTTTACATGCCGTAGATTAATTGCCAGTATGCTGTGACAAAAAATTAAATAATTGATATTATACTTAATATTGGATTCTTAAAACTCCCATACCTCAGATCTTGGAACACAGAGCCTAGATAATGGAATAGTTAATGTGTCTGATGCTTGTGATGTCTTTCTACTGTCTATACTGGTAGGTGGAAATTTGACCGTTGCTATACCTTCTTGTTCATTAATAGATGCCACAACTCCAATGCTTCCTGCTATTCCTTTACCTAAAACCTACAACCAAAGAAGGTCTGCATAAGATGTAAGGCTTTACAAACGTGAAACACCGAGTGTTTAACACCACTGTTTGAGGAAACAGGAGTACGACACAACAGCAGGCTCCACAAGCGTTAGGGAAACTGCTTCACAATCATGGGCAATCTCCATGTCGCTTCACCAGTACGCCAGCGCAGGCAAAACATCGCCAAAAGCACCACCTCTCATTTAAGATATAAAAAGTGAGCAGTGCTGAATTACCTGAACTTCAGAACCTATTTTAATCGTCTCCTTAAAGCCACCCAGAGCACAAAGGGCAGCTACTGCCTGCCGAGCAATTCTCTGAAGTTTAGCCAGTTTCCTTCCACTGCTACTCCCATTCTCCAAAATACTCTCTGCATATTTCCCAAGTTGTGGAATGTACATCAGAGCCCGAGACAGAACCTGAAGACAGAAGCAAAAAGACCAGATAGTGACTTCAAAGCACAATTCAAACAAAAACCAACACCCCAAGCCTCCAGCCCACACACAGTCTCAGGAGAATTATTTTTGTTCTCAAAGAGAATTACATAACTCCAAAAATTCGAAATTCTCTGAAGTGTGAACACCATCAAAGCCAGCTCCATTCTCTAATAACTTTTAGAATCCCAGAGTTACATATATAATCCTAGCAGAAGTCTCTGCTCAAGGATTTCGCCTAAGCGACAGATTAGGTGGTACAGGATTCAGAGGAACATAAAAGTAAGGCACTACACTTCCCAGACAGCACTTAGGAGATTGCTAATAATCAATACATGCTTGGTGTAGAATTTGATCTTCTGTTTGCTTACTTTTTCAGCAGTTGTTGTCCATATCTGAGCTGCATTGGATTCCGGTGCCATCAACAAGCTATGCAGCAAAGCGATCACCTCTGCTGCCATGCTGTTTGCAACGTGCCCGCTAATGAACGGCCTCACAGGATCCGTCCTGTACAGAAGAAGAAAGCAATTTACCCATCAATTTCAAAACAAGAGGAGGAAAAGAAACTTCAGTTGTCAACAGCAACACACAGTGCAAAAAAGGGAAGTCTCTGAACACGCAGATTATTTCCCCAAGCACTACAAATACTGGTATATAGAAAAGCAGAGTCTAGACTCTCCAGACTCAAAGTGACCTACCTGGCAAGCTCTGAATTCCTCTCTCTGCAAATAGACGTTTGTGCAGTCTTCTTTTTGTCCCCGGTGGACAAGCCGCTAGTAGTTTCTGGATTGACGGTTTCTACAGGCGGCCCAACACTAACTATTAGACCAGACTGTGCCCACTTAGTCGCCTTTCGAAGAGCCGCAGCAGCTTCTTCTGTAATGACTTCACAGCAGCCACTCTGGAAATAAAATTGCCATGTAAGACAAACACTAATGTTGGCTCTATTTGGCCACACTATACAATGCGTTTAACTCTCCTCCCTCCGCGTATGTAAAAGTACAGAGAATACATCAGCACATCCTCCTGTGGAAGTATCAGTCAGAGTCATTAGACAAATTCTTTCTGTTGCTTTTTCTCATCTACAAACAGATCAATCAATGTGGATTCATTGCTTTTAATATTCCATTCTTAGCTTAACAGTATCGTTTCACTTCTCTGATCAAAAAGCCACACGTGAGTATTTCTGGTGCAAATACTCAACAACATGTCTGAAACATATACATGAAAATTTAATTTAAATATGTGGTTTAAAATTCATACTATCAACGTACATTAAACGCTTCAGGAAAGAGAATATTAAAGGGGCTTAAACATACCTGCAATGGTTGGAGGAAGCATTAGTTGAAATTCTTTTTCATCATGTACCCCTGTATTTACATCAATAACTATATAACCCTAACATTATATATAATTATCTTTCTGAACAGTTCTGTAAATTAAACAAAGCAGATTCAACATCTATAAAAAACAAGAATTCTGACTGGCCACTGATTTTTAAGATGTTGCATAATTCTTATTTATTCCTTTTCTTACTTTCGTCATGTCTCGATCCATTTTCACCACCTTCTCCATATTGGCTCCAGTTCCTAGTCGGAATGGACGACCTTCTGAGCTACTATTAAAGTGAAAAGAAAACACATTAGCTTTGTTTTTATTGTTGGAAAAAATAGCTGAACCATACAGTCCCATTTAATGTATTATGCACGTTTTTCAATTATTTGAAAGCATCTCTTGCAACTGAGATGCTCAACAGTAACAGAAATACTCACTAGTTAAGGTCATACCCAATTGCACTGTAATTTACAAAAGGAATTTAACACTAGTGAACACAGCTATTTGCATAGCAATTTAACCCTTCCCCTTGCCAGTAAACACAACAAACTGGGAAGACAATTTGCTTTCCCATTTACTGTTATGTCCAGGATGCATATTTCTACAGCTGTAGCACTGAAAAAAGAAAAGAAATGGAACTGACAAAACTGGTTGCTAATTGTAACCCAGTGAGTTAAGTTTACCTTAGTAATGGCTGAAGGACTTCATGGGACGACTGGTCTTCCCGTTTATGAATAAAAATAGAAAGTTTACCATCCACTGCCTCGCTTTCTTCTCCAGGATCTTTATCACCTTTTATTGAATTTTTAGGGCTGGCTTTTGCCAAAGCAGTATCCGGTTCAGAGGCCGTTGGAGAAAGAACCGTCTGGCATCCTTGAAGCAGAAAAGAAAAAACCAAAACACACAACCATGAGCTTCATCAACAAATTTTCTTGCCCTTGAAACTAATGCTAACACACCCGAGACACATCTAAAACACCACTGTGACACACACATTAGTCTGAGAACAGTTAAATGAAAAGGCAGATGGAAAGTCACAGAAATATCCTCTCTTTCAGCACTGATATATCATATACCTCTTCCTCCTTGAGCTTTTTGTCAATACAAGAGTTCCTTGCAGAAACAGGACTTGCTTGGCAATTTCTCAAATTAGCCTAACACCAAACGGATGCTGGTACCTGGTACTACATAATCCGCCAGCTTTGCCAGCAGCAGAGAGGCAATCTTGGAGGCTGGGTCACTGGGATCATCCTGCTCACTGTTCAGAGAGGGCACTGAGTAACTCCAGGGCGGCAACTCCACATTTCCACAGTCCTCAACGCTCATGAGAGGCAGTGCAGCACGACACAACTGGAGGATAATAAGGACCAGCTTTGGAGAAGGACGCTGATCCAAGAGGAGTGACAGAAGCTTGGACACACAGGCTGGCTGGCTCAGGATTGCTTTACCTATGTGGCTCCTGAAAGGGAAATTACAACAGGTAACTGTGGCTTGAAAAAAAAAAAACACAAACAAAACTGATTGTTTTATGATGCTCTTGGAATTAAAAACAAATGAATTTATTGTTTACAAGATGTAATCTTAAAAAATTTCAGTGCCTGACAAAACTATCTGCAACACTTCTTGCATAACCCGATAGCACTGATTCCACAGTAAGACTGAGTATGTGTCATTTACAATCACATCTTAGAATCATTTTGAAAGTTATCTTACCTTCACTGCTGTAAAAAACCAAAAAACAAAACAAAAAAAACCCACACAACCCCAAGCCCAAAGGAACCCCCATCTGCTTTCATACACAGAAAAAATACTCCAGAGACAAAGGCCTAGTACCTCGACAGGTCATTAAGGAGACTGAGAACATCCTGAAGTGCATCATTTCCTGCAGCCTGATTACCACAACACTCTGTAGCTCGCGCGAGGTGGTTGGTAAGAAGGCTGGAGACCTGACGAGCCAGACCAGAGTGAACAGCTTCTGTCGAACCACCTTTGAAGTAATGTGAGAATATGCAACTGTACTTAACAAAAACTAACGGACACACCTACAAATCCCTTAGCCATAAACTGAAAATAGTAAAAAATATTTTTGTTTTGCTATAGCAAAATATTTATATATAATATGTCTTTAATTAAAAAAACCAAAACCTGATACAACATCTACATCCTATTAGCCAATAGCCACGTGTCTGTAAGTTCATGTATGTTTCGGGTGAATCCTAACACAGGAGAAACGTATAAACTATCACTCAGGGTCTCCTGAGTCTATGGTTATGTCTAGACAGAACCAACCTGCAGACTCAAAAGTATCTGCACCACTCCCATGAGGAAAAAAGCTAGAATTAAAAAACCAGAAGTCAACTTATTTTTGTAACCACCTGTGTGTTCTGAAGAACCCAAACAGTACTGAAGTCACGGTGAGTGAATGCCCTGTTTTAAATACCCTTACACCACTTCCCAGGCACCTGTGCAATTCTAAAGCGCACAGCGGAAACATACTCGCGGTGTTCCTACCTTCTTCCTTCTCCCACTCAACACAGCGATTGGCTAGCACCTGGAAGGCAGCCCAAGCCATGGTGGCCACCTTCTGCTTCTTAGTCTGCTTTTCATTTGAACTCGATTCTGTCTGGCTGCTCAAACTGCAAAGCCGGTCCATAAGCTGTACCAGGCCGCTACGGACCAAACACTTCTCCTCGCTCCTGTATAAGAAGAGAAATTCAGACTTTACTTCAGTAACTTTTCAGTCACTTAACAACACACACAATGAAAATCCAGAACTTGCTGTTAACTCGGCAATTAATCACTTCACTTTGCAGAAAGGTGGTTGTCTCTCCCTTGTCCTCCCCAGTGTAAATTCTGTATTCTAAGAAAATTTAACAGGATGTTCTCAGGTCCTCCTCATTCTGAAGAAAGGGAGTATATTTATACTACACAGTGCTACTCCTTAAGGCAAAACCTAGTAACAACAGTTGTGGATGCCCTCCTTCCCTTTCTGAAAGCAATACTTTGATACCTTGTGTAAGGTATAGTGCATAAGAGGCCAATGCTATTTGCACAAGCGATGGGATAGCGAGCACACAGCGAGACCACAGACGTCATCGTCTCTCCAAAAGCTTCCTGGACTTGTTCCACCATCCCGCCACACGTGAGCTCTTCTATTCTGTGGGCAGTTAGATATTTGACATGGTAGGCTTCTCAGGTTAACCACAGTGAACAAACTCCCAAATATATCTTCAAAAAATAATAACCAGCACACATTAAGAATTACTCAAGGAAGATTTAGAAGCAAAGCTACAAGTCACCTGATGTTTTAGTATGAAACATAAGTACACAAGACAGTATGATAGTTTTACCTCAGACGTGACTGAAATTTGACTACAAACAGAATACTCAGAAAACGTTTAACAAATTTAGATGACAGTATTAGCATCAGCTAAATCTACCACTAATGCATGAACTTAGAATTAAATCAAGAGAGTAAGATACCCTATATACATATCTGTGGACACATCATCGCAGTATGAAAGGAAAGTTCATCTACTGCCAAATAAAAAACATTTCTTAGGAGTTTCTGCCTCTGTACCCCACAAAGGCCAATAAAAGTGGTTGTTGCCAGCTTAGTACTGCAAACGTCAGGCCTCACAGCTAGTCTCTTCTCATGGTTTTTCTTTGTGCAATGCAATTTACCATTTTCTGCAGAGACCGAAACATTTAATTATTTTTCAGAAAAATAAACAAACCTTGGTCCTCCCTGAAGTACCATGGTCACGGGGCCTACAAGATGCGTCACACCACCAACCCGAACAGCTGCCGTCAGCAGCTCCCTCATATGCACCAGGGCTTGCTTCCGCGTATTCCCACGCCGCCACCTTGTCTGAGCAGCCAGCAGAAAACTGCTGCTGGAGACCTACGGGATGTTTGGTTTTGTTAACGAGACACACGCAAAACACCTCCCTTCTTTGTGAAAGTGTGAATCTGAAAATACACTGATTTAGCACATGTAAAATGACCTACCGCTTGGTCGGGATTTGTTCCGATGAAAGCGAACAGCTGCCCCAGCAGGACGCTGTAGGTGGGTTTATCTCTGCTATCCTCGATGGTCAGTGACTGGAGAAGAGTGAAGGAGCTGCTTCTGTGGCTGGTAACGTGGCGTCGCCTGTGAGGATACAGGATAATTACACCTGGCAGCAGCAGGCTGATCCAAAGTTTATGATGATTTTAACACCACATTCCACAACACTGTAAGGCAGCTTAGTGGAAGAAACCCTTGCATACCTCTGGCTTGATCTAGCAAACTCGATGTCTTCGTTACCAATCATTTCTAAGTCAGATGGTGCCGACATACTGCGAAGGAAGACGGGCTGGCGGACCGCGTGAGAGATCACTTTTGTTTCAGATGCTGATTTACAGGCTGCAATGTTATACAACAGGAAAGAATGTCACTCCTGGTGTGGGAGGTTATTTAGAAACATCATTGTGGACATTCCAGTGAAAGCTACAACACAGGGTGGGGAAAACACAGTCTAAACAAGAACTTGCAACTCAGTTCTGAGGACTTTCCTGCTTTCAGGTATTGTTTCAAGTTAGCTTTGTTTTGACTAGGTTAGCATTTTTTCCCCTAACAATTCAGGAGAGTACAGTTTAAATTCCACATATTATTATTCAGATCTTAATTTACCATCATTATGGCAATCAGAAAACAAAGACCCGACTTCATTTACTCTAAAAGAACTTTTTTAATTTGAAAAAGTAAAAAAAATAATTAATTTTAATTTCTCTTCAACTTAAATTAAGAAAAATAAGAGAAAAGGAATAAATTATATCTTTAAGAAAAACTAGAAGAAAAAAAAGGAAGCATAATGCTGGTAATGAGATATATACCTGGAGTCTCTGCAGGGGTACCCGATATACTTCTGGTGATACCCGACTGTGCTGCAATAGTGACATGTAACAACAGCTCGGCTCTGTTCATCAAGCTCTTCACTAATGTTTTCGTTTTTGCTAGGGGATGGGAGGTCCTCTGAATCAGTGAATTCACCTCTTGAAAAAACTTCTCCCTAAGATTAGGAAAGAAAAAGAAAAGAAGCAAACTCAATTATGTTTTAATACCTTCTGAAACAAAGTGTTACTGTGAGAAAGGTTATTTTAAAGAAGACATATAGCATCAATCTATTCTATGCCAACAAAGTAGAAAGCTGAAAAAAATTAAAGAACTAAACAAGTGATTTGTTAGTAAGTACTAGTAGCTGTATGTACTAACAGGAATATATTTATGAGAAACATTTCTAACAGTTTAATCAGATATTGCTAGACAGATAGGAAAAATAAATTTTAAAGTATTTGCATCCCTGGTTAGAAGTTCATCTGAATGTTCCTGCTCCCAAGGATTGTTTTATTTCTATAATCTACCAGCCTTTCATGGAATTAGACATTTAGTGCCAGGTTCTGTTTCACATCAGTAACTGTCACAGGGTACAATGAGATTCAATACTACTTCAATAATTGTTTAGGTATGTATGCAACCTTCACCCTGCATAATGGCTTTTGGAACTCACTGAAATTCCACTGTGAGTGGTGCTTCAAGCTGCCTATCTTTTAAGTACCTTGCCTAAACGGTACCCTCCACACACAGCTACTAACCTTAGTGCCAGGACCACATTCTCAAGATCACTTCCATCGAAAGAAACTTCTTTCATCGAACACAGAAGCTCTAGTTCTTTCATCTTGCTCTAAACAAAGTGAAGGAAAAGGATGAACATGTGTTGAGAGAGCAGCACGAAGCATGAGCACACACAGCAGCCACGATGCTTACCTCGTTGAAGTGATAATCATAAAAGAATGGGACGTTGTTCTCCAGCTTCCCATGCATGGCATCATCTACCTCATTCTGCCACTTCTGCTCCAGCTCGGCCACACTCTAATAAAAAGACAAAAATAACACATTATAGTTGTTCATCTTAAGAAGAGATCTTAAAAGAAGAAATCAGAATACATTTTGTACATCTATGTTTCTAAAATGCTGTTAGTACAGCTTTATTCTCAAAAAAAACCTTCTGGTTTTTTATGTAATTTTATTTTTACCTGCAATTGTCTCTCCATGGCATTTAGCTTCTTAAAGGTCTCTCCCATGATTTTACAAAGTAAATCATATTCTTCAGCGTGTTCCTCCTGATACTGGAAATTTATCAGGGACTGTAGCGCATCAACTAAATTCAAATGTTTAATCACACATGAAACTACCATCTCCTCCATTACTTCTGGCTGAATCACGTCCCTAAAGGTAAAGCCAAACTGATTAAGCAAGAGTAATGGACAAACTTGGACAATTCAAATTTACAATTCACTACATGCTGCATTCAAACAAGTATTTACAGGATATTAAACAGGCATGCTGCATCCTCACCACTGCTTTTTTTATCTCACTTACTTTGGCACCAAACATTTCTAACAATAAAAGCCAAGGTTAGAAAAACAGAGCGAAACAACGGTTACTTACTTTATACTAGGTCTGAACTGAGGCCGAGCACGTCCAGAAATTTCCCTGAGTTTTATCATGATTCCTGGAGGCAGCCTAATCCTAGGCAGGTCAAAATAGTGTCCAACGGGAGGCACTAAAACATCAGAAGGATATGTAAATTCTCTGTCTTCATCTATAGTAAGAGGCAGTGGAGAAGGACTTGGTGTAAGGGCTGGAGATATTACACCGTTAGCTTCCACCTGCCACTGGCACCTGGAAAAATAAATAAAAACAGATGAAAATTAATTTTTTCCCTCCTAACTCTCCCCCCCTCATTTAGAAAGACACAGTCAACAACACGTTACAAACACAGGCTACATATTAACATACTGAGTGTGGCTTGTGCCAAGTACAGCCCAACCCTCCTCTACTTAGTCTAAAGAAAACCTCTGTTGTAGAGAATATTCCCTCAGGTTTAGGCAACACAGGACTGCCGAACAAAACGTGCAGGAAAAATTAACAAAACATCACCTTAAAACACAAGACTTGAGCACAACTACAAAAGTCACCCTTTCTCAGAAAAAAAACACATAGGAATGCAGATCAAAAATTTTTTTTTACCTTTGTAATAGTTTAGATCTTAAGAGCTCTTGGCAGGTTTCTTCATCTTTGGTAATTTCTGGTCCATTGTATAATATTCGCAGCATAGAACAAGCTAACACAGAAAGGCCAAGAGCCAGGTCCACTAAGAACGGCAAGCCTCCCGACACATCCTCTGAAGACTCCTGCAGCGGGAATAGCGACAAGTTGCACTAATCAATCAACCGTGAAGTCCTTCCCCAATATAATTCAAGATAGATTTTGTATTTTTATATATAAGCTTTTATGTAAAAGATACATAGGTATCAATCATGTCTCTTACACAGAGGTACACTGAAAAAAATGCTCAACAATTACAAGCAATATATAAGAACAACTCAAGACAAGAAACAAAGGATTTAAATTTTATTTTCCTGAACCAAGAAAAAAGAAGTTATTTTTGGTTCAGTCATTCTTTGGCCTGCAGATGTCACCTCACAAGCCCCATTCCTAGCTTCCTGGTAAAAGATTCAAGTTTCCTGTTTGATCCCAGCATCCCTCCCCTCTCTTCTTTCTAGGCTGGAATCGTTATTCCCTCACTAAACCTGATTTCCAGGTTGTTACAAGATACCCATCTCTCCAAAGAAATCGTGATCTACGAGCAGCAAGAGATACTAAAGTGACTTCATCCAAGTCCAGTGCCAATGCCAAGAGATAGATACGACATTTGGTAATAAGTGTCTTTGCAAAACCCTAAGCACATTACAGAGCATGCCACAGGGTATCTCCAGCTAAGGAAACCAAACATCTGAAACTCAGGTCCTTTACATTATAAAAATATGTTTTGTCTTATTGCCAAAGCAAGCTACTACTGTTTTAAATTTCAAACATTAACTTCCAACTTTGGAGTCCATTTCTCTTTGATCCGAAGTGTGCAACAGACAGAAGCTGAAGCTGAACCTGTCCCATGGAATCTGTCATGTTTGAGTACCTGTGCTCGAACTGTGCAAGCAAAGCCCCACATAGCTTTGTCCGGAGTGTTGTGCTCACGACCACTCCGCATTTCAAAGGAGAAGGTGACTGTATCTCCTTCCACCTTCAAATTTCGATGGGGAAAAGGGGAAGAAAAAAAAAAGAAGAAGATACATTTAAGAATTGAGGCAAACAAACAGGCTTTTCATTAAACTGGCTTATTTTATGGATTAATGTTTTTAATGACAGTTCTCTGAGTATTATTTTTATCTCCAATTATATACCCTGATTTAAGATTCTTCCCTTTTTGTATGGATATCTTTCAGTGGACAATTTGATTTTAATTTTGCTGCTAGCTAACTATAGTAAAACAAAAAAAAAACCCACTGTAGCTGTAGAATCAAAAGTAGAATTTATTAGTCTGAGTTACTTGGCCTTGATTTTAAGAAAACATTTAAGAAAATATGCACAGCCTCAGACTGTGCAGGAATTTCTCCTAGGAAGATATAGTTATGAGAACAGCAGTGCCATCAGAGACTGCAGGACTGAAACCTACTGATAATGAATCCCAGTAAGACATAACAAAACAAGATAAGTATAAAGAGAAGCATCACAGAGAGCATACAGTTGAGCTGAGGGAATAACTGTATTATTCCCCAAGGACATAACAGCCTACTTAAGAAGCGATCTCATCACGGGTAACCGCACACTTAAAAGCTTGGCATTCATTGCCACAAGGGTTAAAATGGACTCAATACATTTTCCAAAGGGGATTTTCTATGTGAAATATTGTTGGATTAGAATACTGTACCTTTACTAAGTCTTTCGGCCAACCAGTTCCTAAGACACTACGGCTGCCATATCCCAGTGTATTGCCTCCATACTCAGCAACCTTCCTACTGTTTGTGTTAGGACCAGCATAGATCACCAACTTCAAAACATAAAATACACTGTTAGACTGTAAGAGAAAAACAAGAAAATCTAATAATAATAATAATACTTAGCACTTACATCGCGCTTTATATTTTCAAAGCGCTTTATCAACATTAACAAATCCTCACAACAGCCCTGTGAGGTGAGCAGGCAAGTATTATTATCCCCATTTTACAGATGGGGAAACTGAGGCAGAGAGGAAACTGAGTGACTTGCCCCCAGAGTCACACAGCAAGTCAGCAGCAGAACTGGGAGCAGAAATCAGGAGAAATCCTAACTTCCAGTCCTCATGCTGAGCTAACGCATACTGCATCTCTACTAATAAACGGATTTACCCTGCTCCCATCAAAGTTCATATTTTGTCAGTGACTTCAGTGGGAACAAAGTCTTCTGGAGGAGTTTAACCAGTAATGGGAGACATTAACATTAAAGATGCTTATAAATAACTAATGCGAGTATCACAGGACTTGCTCTATGACAAAGAATAAGTGGCAACAATTAGTAAGCAGCACAAGTAGCTCTCTGATTATACAAAGTAAGTGCTATTAGCTGAGCTCTTGAAATTGAAAATCCTTGTTCATATTAATCCATGTAAAAAAGTCATTTATCATCAGTTCCTCCCAGTTTAAACAAACTGTGCTGATCTACAGAGTAGGCAGGCAGATTAAAATTTGAGAAATTCGGAAAAGTGAACAACAGCAAAAATGAGAAGGAAGTCCAACTTTGACAATCTGAGCCATCATGAAATGAACTTAAAAAAAAAAAAAAAAAAAGAAGAGTTGATATGAATTTCTGAGAAAACAAACAAACAAACAAACAAACCTAACACCCCCGCCAAACCCCCAGACCTCTGGAGTCTACTGTATTTCTCCTGTTTCATAACTACCACTACTTCTGACACCCTTTGAGGACACTTTCTAGTTACAGAGCCTAACTCTTAACGAAAGATCCTCATAACTGATAGGTTTTAAACATTGAAACAATCACTGGACATTATGTTCTGAAACAATACACAAGAATGAAGCATATACTGGTTTTGGATTGTTTCTTCAAGATGAATAGAAATTAAACATGAACCATTTATCTTCATCCTCCTGCCTTGTCATGTCAACAACTCTTTGTACATTTTCTACCATTTAGCCAAGTCTAGTCTATAGATGAAACCCAACAATTCTTTTGAAAAGTTATTCCCACTTGTGCCACAAAAGAAATAACCTCTCTGCACTTCACAGCATTGAAGTAAGTAGACTGTGACATTACAGTGTACACTAACGAGCTCCTGTCAATAAAAGCCTCCTGCATTATCCTCATCTCTGGAAAAAAGGTGCCATGAAGGACACGGGGCAGAAAAGATGAAAATGGGAAGTGCTGCTGAGAGAAATGCATACAAAGGAAAGAATTTCTGAATTGGCCCTTGCTTACCTTATCATAATCATATTGTGAAGAACATCTATTGTCAAATCTAAGATATAAACAGCGGGCTCCTGGAATATGTACAGTTTCTTTAAATTTATAGTTATCTCTGACGGGATGAACTGTTTCTACAGTCTTCCCAGCAGCCCAGGGAGCAGGGATCTTCAAACCCGTAAGAAAACCTGGTTCTTCTTTCTCTTCCAGCATTCTGAAATTAGAGTGAAAAATTAGTCTTAAAATTCAACACACAGATGCCTACTATATAATCAGACATCAAACTATAAAGTACTTAAAACCACCTCTCAGTCTTGATATCTGGCGACACAAAGAATCGACTCCTCATTTTGGGCATGACTGTACTGAGAGAACATGAACTTAAATAGCATGAGCTCTGTACATCAGAAATAACTATACCTGGAACATCTGAACTCTGCCTGCTGCTTTCCAATTTACAAATTGTGGTAAACACGTTAAGTGGCACCATAAAAAAGTACATGGCACTGTGCATGGATTCTAACATAGGACGGGTAGCATAGAAAAACCTTCCCTCGTGGGACAGCCCCCAAAACTGATTACACTGTCGTGAAACAGTCTGCCTAATATTTCACGGAAACTTATAATTTGGAGGAGGATTGAGAATAAATTCTTCAGAGTTTTCACACAGTGTATTACACGTTATCAGAGGTTGTTTAATACTACAAATTCTGCATCACTGCAAACAGATTTAAGCATTTTTATTGAATTTAGCTGCGTGTTTCTGTTTCTAAGCAGAAGCTGTATAAATTTGAGCTGAGACACAGAATTTAAATGTAGGACTTAAAACTGTTATACTTCTCTACGTAAATGCAACCACTTAATACCTTTCCAATAGTTTTAATACTGTACTTCATGCTGCTAGTGCAATTTACTTTTTCTCATTATGGTCTTCCTTAATCTAATTTATTGCAAGAAGAACATTTAGAATTATTTCCTAATGCTTGAGGTGAGGGGAAAAACCAAAATAAACCATCTCATGTGCAAACAACTTGAAGATATCAATCATTTAATTCTACACACAAAATCTTAGAACTAATTGCCTTTTGTAAAGGCGTCTATATCTTTAAAACAGCCTTGCAAACCATTACAGCTTTGCCTTTAAAAAAAGATTGCTGCTTTAAGACTATTTAAAAAAAAAAACAACAAACAGATTGGTGCTTTGAAATTTATGCCACAGCAATGGTCAAATACGGTCAAATGAACATTACAGCCAAGATATTTTATCCCACAAAAGACTCAAATGTAAAGAAAATCACCTCTCATCAGGTAATATCTTCCCTTTCTGTTCTGACACACCACTGGGGGAACTGTTCAGTTCTGAGAAAACTGGAGACTGAGTTTTAAGCAGCAGTGCAGTCTGCAGTGCAAAATATACAGGGTTAGAAACATGCAAACAGTAAATCATTTTAAGATCTCATTTCTGAAATATATTAACAAGCATGCTCTACGTTATTGACAATAAATCATTACTTAGTAGCTGTTGCACCAAGTCAGATTTAATATTCAGCACTATCAGCTTCTGTAGCTGTGGAGCAACTCTTCAACTATGATCGGTGGATCGCTTACTGCAGAAAGTTGACCCAGATGTAGGCATTTTAGAACATGCAAGCCACATCTTTTTTCCTTTGTGGACAACTGCTGACACAAAGGCTGTACCTGACTTGTGTAAAGAACAAGCTGCACCAGCTGAGGCATCAAGGCATCAGCCATCGTTAGAGTTTGCAAATTGGGATGCATCAGAGATGTCAGTAGGACGGGAAGCAGATGACCAAGCATAGTAGCCTTCGTAATTTGCTCCAGGCCTTTTAACCTGTAGGGAGAGTCAAAGTTTACAGAGTAACAACTGTTTTCAGAGAGTATCACTATTTTCAGTCATCTGTTTAATCTTGTAACAGACGGTGTAAGCAGGAAATTCAAAATTCAGGAGAGAACTAAAAAAAAAAAAAAACAAAACAAAAAAAACCCCAAAAAACCCTAAAACTTAATATCTTGAAAACATTACAATTTCTCCAAAGTGTTAGCATCTTCATCTTTGCTGCCATTTCTTACTAAACAATGACAGACTAAAAGACAGGAAATAAAAGAGTTTAATAATTACTTAGAAAATTATAAGCTCCCACAGGCATGAGATGAAAGTCCACATCAAACCCAAGTGTATTTGTTCAACACGTAGATCAGGCTGCTGGCACACACAGCTCAAAGTACTTTAAAAGAATCCGCATCTATAAAAATATATTTGAGCAAGAAACCCAACTGAAAACATCTCAAAGGAATTGTGCATTGTCAATAAACAAAAGGCTCACAGCTTTTGTTTTCATCCCATTCCCAACTTATATTTTTTAAGTGGAGGGGAGACAGGGAAGGGCAAGGTGACACCACCTGATGAAACACGCAGGATATCGTAACAACATCTAAGACTTGTCATGGATAAAATACCTAGTCCAGCTACTAGACATTTAACAGTCAGGAATTTAAAAAAATCAAAAAATTGTCTTAGCTCACAGGAATATTCCTAGCTGATTAGCTACAGTTTGTTTCTGGTCACTCTCCTCAGAAATACCACCGTAACCAACTAAAACCTCACCAGTTTGAAGTTTCTATAGATTATCAAGCTAGTGGCATTGACATGGACAGTCTGATTCTAAATTCTTCAAAAGCTAAGTGCTAAGAAACAGTTTCTGCACATTCAAAGCCCAAGTACAAAGTTATAAAGAACAAGTAATGCCAACCGTGGTGGTGCAAGACGCCACAAAAAGCATCCGTTTCTTGTTTGCAAGTTAACACACTCATACTCGTCTTACCTTTGCTCTCTATCAGAAATGTCACTGTTTATTAGTGCTGTAGTGACTTGTTGCAGCATTTCTAAGACTTCATCACATCCTGTCAGAATTTGCGTAGCAAGAGACAAAATGCTGGTCTTTAGCTCCTAGGTACAAAAAGAGTTAGAGGATACTGAAATTCTTAGAGAATACAAAAGGACAACAGAACAAAACGATGGATTTCCAAATGAAAATAATGATAATGTGACCTGGCAGGCCTGCAGCAGTAGATTCATCCAAGACTTAAATTTGATTAATGCTAAGCCCCAAAGTGCTGGGAGAAACTAGGTGCATATGTTACAGGATGCACATCCAGTTTCTAGAGGGAAGGAATCCCCAAGTCCAGCACAGGAGAGAGCTGTTAGCCAGCCAAGGTACAGCACTGGTGACACAATGTCCTAGCAGGCATGAGGATCACTGTAGAGAGAGAAACTGAACAATGAAAACATGGGTGAATAGAGAGACAAGAAAAGTACTACAATATTTAGCATTTACTCAATGAGCCTGAACAAATAACTTTCAACTGCAGCAGATTACAAGCACACAAAGAATTAAAGAGTAGCAGACACAACCAGCTTAATGAACAATACCAGAAATTCAGAAGTCAATACCATTAGAGAGGAATCGTCACTGTTACAAAAACGACTATGGCAAGACAGCCTGCACGCTAGGGCAAACCCGGCTTCTCTGAGTTCATTCAGGACTATTCCAGCAGCAAGATGAAAGGACACCACCTTAACAAACGTTATACCAACAAAACGTCCCCGAACCTGGTCCTCTAACAGCCTCCTTGCCACAAACATCGCTCATGCTATTTCAGTCAACAGATGTAGATGGCTCTACATAAGCTTTATAAGGTAAAACTGCAAAAAGGCAGAAGCCAGGCAAGGCAAATGAAAAAGCCTTTCTTATTTAAATCTGAGAATTATTTTTTCAAAGACCACCTAAGTGATTTGGAGAAGACAAAGTGAGGGAATTATGTGTCCAGAAAAGATTCCTGGCACATTAATATTCTGACTAGCACATATTAATTAAAATACACTTTAAACGCCTTTATACATATATTTAGGAAGGGAAGCGTTTGCTCTCACTGACAATATAGAACCCAAGCTCGAATACTGAACATAGAACATTTGCAGACTTTCTCTGGAGAACAGGAAAAACACACACCTGTCCCCATTAATTTAACTATATCAAGAGGAAAAGAACCAACAAAAGAGTGTAAGTAGAATGCAGCACAGAAGCAAGAGGTGTCACAGGAACACTGACTGTAGAGAGCCATGCTAGAATAAAACTTGGTGTTTACCTGTACCTTCAATGTCTCTCCCTGCAAGGAGCTGTCACTGTCATCATTTTCATCAGGTTTAATCAAAATAGTGTTACTGAGGAGGTGGTTCTGTACAGCCATCAGATACCGCAAACACGAAGATGCAGCCTTTAACATAAATAAGTACACTTTACATTATCTAAACCCTTTAATCGCGCTTGAGTCAGGCAGTCCTGGTACTCTGACATATAAAAGAGGAAAAAAGTAGGAGAGGACAAGCAAAAGCAAAAAATAATCTTCCTTGAATAGAAGAGGTTTTGCTAGTCTAGTGCAAACTTGTTAATTCATATCTAAGAGAAGAAATTGGTTGCAAATAACTTGCAAAACATACACAGAAGCAGTACCATTTTATTCAAGTATGTAACATTATAGTAATATCCAAGTACTGTAACGTTACTTAGTACTTAAAAGGTAATGCCACCATAGAGCTAAATTTAATTCACGTCCCTGAAGGTGATGGTTCCATACTACTAACTCCTTCCCCACCCTTCTGCCGCACAGGTCGTGACTTTGTCCCCTCTGCAGTGTTTGCACGTGAGCTCACCGGCCTTGGCCACCACCACATCAGGGAGCTGACCCTGCTGAGAACTCTGCTCATGCTTTTACCGTGAAATAATGCCAACTTTCACTCTTTTTTGTCTGTAAATGATAATTCTGCTTGCATGAACCATTATAGACAACTGCAGAAAGAGTTTACTTTGTTTTTCAAGTTGTTGTAATCCTTTGAAGATTGAGATACACAAACTTCATTTAAATTGAAACAGCTACGAGAGCAACTGGAAACCAGATCCACACATAAACCTGTTTTAGCATTACTGTACTATCTGCTTTGCTGTAAGAAATCATTTCTTCCTTCCCTGCATGGCATAAACAAATGACATTCTTTTCTGCATTTGTTGAGGCACACAACCCTAAAAGCTCCACCTTTGTATACTCAGTAAAGATCATGGATTTAAGGAGGAAAAAAAGCCAAAGGCAAATACACTTTTATCAAAATACATTTTACTTACAGGCACAGTTGAAAGAAGCCTTTGAAAATCATCTTTAGATACAGTTTGGCACTTGGTGATTAAGACACAAGATTCTCGGACAACAATCTTGAGAATGTAGTGCAACAGCTCATCGTTTAGTCTTCAAAAAATGCAGGAAAAATGCAAAATGTTAATAGTCTCATTATTGCATATTTTGTATAGCTCATCTCAAAAGTCTCTGCAAGCTGTACCACAAATTATGTGAAACCAAAACAAATCTCTGGTCAACTTCAGAGATTCAGACACAAAGAAAACCAAGCCTGAAAGGTTTAACAACAATCAATTCAACAGATGACCAGTGGTTTCCTGCACTGCACTGACAGAAATCTACCATAAGTAGCAGGACTCCAAATCCAAGCCTGTGTACAGAAGTCCCCAAAGTTTCCCCTAAAATGTCAAACCTCTCTCCTGTCCCAATGAAAATCTACCCACCACGGACACAGAAATAGCATTTCAGGTCACACCGTAAGATAACAAGCGATTTCAGCAGAATTTTATGCAAGTCTACTTAAAGCAAATAACAGAAACATACATTATAAATGGGGAGGGGGAGCGTATTAACGCATTTTACCTATAATGATCATCATCTTCACTTCCAAATCTGTTGTTCTGAAGCTGTTCAGCTAAATTAGTCAGGATAACGTCGCGAAGTTGAGAGAGACCACTATTTCTCTCTCCTAAAAGGGAATGCAAAAACTTTTGCAAAACAGCATTTCACAGAATTAATTTATTTTTATTTCCTCAAATATCTTGCTTAACACATGCTACATCTCAGAAATTACTGTCTTTGCAGTGTACTGTGATTACCTGTTGATATTACAGACTTAAACTTACTCTGCACAAAGCACTGTTTTAAATTCCAAAGACTTAGACGCATGGACACATTCCTAGGAAGTAACAAATCACTGTGCATCAGCTGCTTCTGAGTCCAGACTCCCATTTCATGGTGAATGCTAGCAGATTATTACTTTTACACTAAGGATTAAAATTACCTCTGGTTACTGTGCCACTGCCATGAGTAACAGTAACTGCTAGCTAGGTGTTCTAAAATACAACCTGGACAAGAAACATTACCAGTACTGACAAAAGAGAACTTTAATCCTTTTCAAACAGCTGCCTGATTGAGACAAGTTTTCCTTTTCTACACCTGACATACGCTTGGCCATACAGCCATTCAGAAGGCAGCTTCAGAATGTGAAGCATTCTGCAATTTCCTGGATTAGGATAAGTTTAAAGCAGACTAGTGCTCAATATTCTCAACTGCTCTTCCTCCAAAGCCTGAGAATTATTTTTACTTTTTCTTTTCAATTAGAAAAAAAACCCACACTCTCGTGTGTCAATAAGACATCCTCACCTTCAGTTAAGACCAATTTCAATAAATTATTGATTTCTGCTTCTCCAGGATACAGGATATTTAAGCCAGAGCTAAAAAAAAAAAAACACAAATGAAAGCATATATTACTTAACATATTTAAAAGTCCACTGAAATCTTGTTCAAATATTAAAAATGGCATCACAGAATCTCAGTTTAGTATCTGACATAACATTTAAAATGTCTATGTAACAGCTTCTTCCAGCTTAGAAAGGCACCCTCCTTATTTTACCATTTATATTAGCCACAAAATAAGCATCTGCTTTTTCCAGAAATCTCTTGTAATCAACTATATTTTATTGTTTAGGTCCCAAAGCTTCCGCAAGAGCTATTTGCTTCCCTCTGAGAAACTCCACACTAATCACTTGTATGTGTGACAGCACAATCATTTTTTCAAGAAACAGAGAGTTGTCAGAAAAAATGGATGATGGCTTAGAGAATAATTCAAACTCTGGTGATGGGGTAAGACCTGTGGCTTACCTGTGATGAGAACAATGCAAAATGCAAGAGACAAGAATCAAGAAGTCACTGCTGTTACAGTTTTATACTTGTTGAAGACTGGCTCCTTATAGAAGTCTTATTTTAAACCAGGCAGAAGACTCTAGAGCGAGCATTTTGGAAACACGACAGCTATACATAAATACCCCTTGTGGAGATATTTTTCCCTCTAACTTGTGATGAACTTTGTCCTTTCCACAAGGACTACCACTTCAGGATAGAAGATAACTTAAAAGGAATACTGCGTGACTGTCTGAAGTGTTGAAACCATTATGCAGACTTTTTCTTCTTTTCTTTTTCCCTTTTCTTTTTAAATAACACTCTCACAGAACAGAAAACTGGTATGTTTTTCAGCTTCACACTGGGAGCAGAGATTATTGCAGCTTCCCTCCCTCTGGCTCACACTGACCAACTTGCAGTACAAACATCAGGAGAAGTTATCATATATTACGAGCGAAGTTTGAGGTTCCCGTTGATATCAGAATCCCCTGATGAGAAAACAGGAGGAAGGAGATATTACCTAATCCCCACCTCTGATTTTTTTACAAGTCATTGGAAGAAATAGCATTAAACAAGGGAAAAATGCAGCAGCTGTCCATACAGTTGACAGAAAACACTTTTCCCTGCCAAAAAGCAAGACCCTGAAAATGCTAGATAGTGATACTAAACAGATGCTATTCTTCTTCACTCACAGAGCTGCATAAAGCCACAGAAATTTAGAATGTCGTGATTCACACAAAAAAATGCAGGTTGATCTTCAGAAGATTTTGTTCTCAACCTTTGGAGCACTTCCCACTTGAAAGCAGATTCTATTTGTACTCGGGACATCTGAGACAGTATTCCTTGTCCTTGAGATTTACATTCTCTCGTTTTCGTGATACACAATCACACTTTTTGCTCTCTTCCCTGTACTTAGTCATTCTGCTATTTTGACAAGACAGAGAAAGGAAATCACACAGCACCAGGTTTCAGGAGACGCAGTAGCTGATATGATGAGGAGCTGAAGTAACCATCCTGCTTGTGGGTTCGATGACCTGCTGTACCAACCCAGAGACACAACATCCACTCTTCCACCACAACAGATTCCTGTCTTCTAAACATAAACCAGCCTTTCTCAAGACAGTCTTGCCACCCTGCCTGGGTTTTTCAACCTGATAGCATTCCTCAAGTATTATTCATTCTCTTTCCACTTACATTCCTTTTTTTTAGGAGAATTTCTGTATTGTCACTTCAAACACTGCCGTAACAGCTGACAACATTAGCTCTGCCTGTTCCAGAACACCAATAAACTATATAAGTTAAATATGGAAGTCATTCTAGCCATCTCTGAAACACAGAAAACTTTGCTTGTATTTACTGGCTATATAAATTATAATAAACATTAAGAAAAAAACCTAAAAAAAAAAGAATAAAAAGCAACAAAGGAAAAGAAGTATGGAAAGTAACTGCTGTTATTTCACTGTCACCATGACAAATACATTGTATTTCCCTTCTTCCACATATATAAATTGCACTAATTTTATCGTACTGTGTTGACCTATATTTTATCATATTAAACTGCTAAATACAATTTGAATGTTCAGCTGTTACAACATTTTCAAATAATCTAAATTAAGCTTAATTTGACAAAACAGATATTTACCTAATAGCTAGACAAACCTCCTTCTGAATTTCAGAGCAAATCTGATCCCTTGGTGCCATCAGTAACTGCCAAAGTAACAGGCCAGACCTTCTAACAATATCTCTGTTTCTTTCGGTTTGTGGGCTGAAGAAAAATTTAAAAACCACCTAAAAAAATTAAACACAACAATATTAAAACTTAAACATTGTTCACATTATGCATTTTTCTGCAGTCAGTTTCTCAAACTACTTGTCTAGGTCACTAGAAATCTCAGAGTCAGAAACTGACTTTGGATTAAAAAAAAAAGAAATAAGGAAGTAACCTCTCTGGATTTTATTTTTATCTCTAAAGGTGGGAAGCACACTTACATTTAAATTAGGACTCTTAAATGTGTGTACAAGATACTGCAAAGCCACTGCTAATTGATCTCCATTAAACTGAATGCAATGGAGAAAAAAAACCCCAATGAAATTAAGTGGTTGCCTGTATCCTAAACCATTTTTTTTCTTTTAGTGTTTATTGTGAAGTTCATATAAGATGCTCTTGTACCTGAAAGACAACAAGGATGCAGCGTATTATACAAGTATCTCCGTTCACCATAGCTTTCTCCATAATGTCACAGATACTGCTGAGGTGATGTGCTTCAATTGGATGTTGCTTGCCCAGAAAATTTGTAATGGGAAGATTGTTGCTGGCTGCGAGCAGGTTGAGTTGGTGGATACACATGGCACCAACATGGTGCAGTAACTGGTTAATAACCTCGTTTGTGGTTGTTGCATCCCCTAGAAGAAAAGCAGTTCAAATGCTCTCTACAAACATAGACTACAGCATCAGCATTTGCTTCTAAAATGCAAATATCATCATTATCTCTAATTTCAGGACACACACCCACACGATAAATAAAAGGATTACCCACATCACTTTTTTAACGTGCTAAAAGTAGCGAGAATCCAGGAACTTCCAAGCACGTCTCACTTGTTGCGTTTTCCTTTCTTAAGCAAAGATAAGCCATGACCAATATTTATAAAAAACTTTTCAAGAATGAACTCAACTTTTAATAGAAAGTTTCAGAACGTAGTATCTGTGTATTTATTCTATGATAACCGTACATTTCACTTGCACTTTGTATAAAACGCTGACCTGTGGGTTTATCTCACCTTTGGGCTCTGTAATGACGTGACTCACTCCCAGTCTCTGACAGACACAATGGAACGCCTGGTTCCCGGGATTACACCACTGATCAATATAATCGTTAGAGCACGTCCATATCATGTTATTCATCGTATCGTAACAGGCACCTAAGGAAAATATTTTGCACATCAAATTTGAGAATGTTTGTTAGAAAACCAGACTGAAGTATTTTTATAGTAGATATAAATCCAAATTATTTGCTTTAAAAGTTCTCTGTCATGTGACAGTAATTTAGTAACAAGGCATTGGAATGAAAAACATTAAAAGGAGATTTCTTAAGGAATGAAGCAAATGCACGTCCCTTTGGATGTTTCAAGTGAACGTACAACAGCTTCTGTTTCAGGTAAATACTCCACTGCTCATCATTTGTAAGTACATAACATGTATCATTCCTCCACAAACTTATCAGACACTGCCACAGTGCATACACTAAAAATAGCTGAGCCTGGCATCAGATACCAGTAACTTCCAGAAAAAGCAGAGGGGAAAAAGTTTCAAATTTAAAACCTACAAAGGCAAGATAGTGGAAATTCCTTCAGGGAATTCTGAACTTTCAAAAGTGTTAAATTTACAAAATTGCACCATAGGCATGGAACCCCACCAACAGCGGAGTTGCTCACTGCCAATTAAAACCCAGATAGATTATTTAGAATCCAGGGGTTGGGTATATCTAGTTCTGGAATATTCCCAGAAAAGAGATCTACTTCTTACCAAGTCCTGGAACTAGAGCACCACGTCCCAGTGAACTTCCTGCAGCATCAATGAGATCCGCTCGGCTTGTGAACTGCCCGTCCGAAATATTGAACACCAAGCTCGATGCAAGAACTACATAGGAAAAAAGTCTCCAATAAATTTCTGAGAAGTTTGCTGAATTTCAGAAAACCGAGGACTTGAAGTCTGCCACAAATGTATCCAACTTACTTTTTAAAGATGATAAAGCACTTGTTCCTCCAAAGAGGGAGCGTGTTGCAGAACTGCCTGATCCACCCGGGGGTGGGACCAACATCACCAAGTACGTCCCACACGTGTATATCGGGGTCTTTCTTAGCATCTTCAGAGGCAGCCCACAGCTAGTGTTTGCAGCTGAAATAATGAACAGAAAAATATGGCACAAACATGTACTTCTTCATAACATTAAAACCTCATAATAACAGGCAGCAAACAAGGCGGCTTTCTATTTAGGGCTTCAAATAAATCAGTAGGGATATTAATTTAAGCCACGTTCTGCAGCATTTAGAATTTGCTTTAAGAAGTTGCATGTTGGGGTGGCCTCATAATCACATAGATTGAGCATCAATCCCCAGAAGGATACAAACAGTTTCACAGGTTATTTAACTAAAGAGAACAACTTCAAAATGAAAAAAAAAAAAAAAAAAAAAAAAAAAAAAAAAAAAAAAAGACAACAGCAATCTCTAGTTTCCATACCAGGAAAATTAGGAGACTAAGATTTAAGTATAAACAAAACTGGTTTAAGAATTGTATGGGATAAACATATTGAAAGCGGTATCTTAGAGCCAAACAATCTTTCAACACAAAGAGATCATCTGAGATTCACTACGCATTTACTATTTTAAGTTCTCCTGCTCCATATGAAACACATACAGTCATAACGATCCAGCTCCTGCCACAGCTGATCAACACTTTTCTGAGCACTGACTAAAGAATTATCCAAGAATAACCACTTCTTCTTCTTCTGTAGCGCTCTAGTTGTTAACTGGCAAAACACAGCCTTTAAAATAGCTCTTCAAGCTAACTCTGCCAATTTCCCTGTAAGCATATCTATTTCATGTATAATTTATTTTAATGGAAATAGCTTTAATTGTTTAAAATTGAAGAAAGAAAATTCATGTATGTATGAAGGAAGAAGAGAAGTAATTCAGGATAAACTGAATAAAATCTTAAGACAAATCTTACAAAGCTCCAGATCACCCTGAAAGCCATCAATGCTGTTCATTCAAGATAAAAGAACACCCAAACATTGTCCAAACTACCTCTAAAAAGCAAAATTACTTCCAGTTTCTAATAGTCAACTTTCTTGTGAAACAATAGTTTCACTTGCTGAACTGCAATCCATTTTTTACATAACAATTAGAAGCCCAATTGAACTGCCAGCGGAGAAATGCAATTATCAGTTTGATCAAATGTGGCAGAAACCAGTCCTATAATGGAATACATGGAGGAAAAAAAAAAAAAGAGTGCTGCAAGTATTCTTCCCATTTTTCATTCTTTGCTCACAATCAATGCCTAATTTAGCAAAGGAACTTGTAATTCAAGCATTAAGCAAATACCGCAGATATATTTTAAACACTTATTTTGGAAAAAAGAAGCACGTTTTTTTTTTACATGTCCTGAGAGGTTAGTAATTACCAGAACTGATACTAAATGTGCAAAGAAACAAACCACAAAAAATTACTGAGAGTCAGTAAAGCCTCTTCTGACCTGCTTGGTCCTCTTTCAGTGTATTGGAGATTGTGGAGCCAGTGAGAGCGGCCAGTGTCGCTGACGGGGAGGCTCTATACCTAGACAGCCTGCTCAGAAGCATCTCGTTTATACTCTTTGCAGACTCACCCTCTTTTCTCATTAATATAATTCGTTCCTGTAGAGGATTTGCTATACATACGCCATTGTCTACCTATTAAAATGCAGGAAAAAAATACTTTCAGCTATTGAAATCCATAGGAGACAGATTACCTTAATCGAACAATAAAATTCAACAATACAATATACAGGCAGGGATACAAGCCTGAACTCTGCTGTCAGAATGTCTTGAAAAAAAACATTGTAAAAGCTAGACAGATGGGTATGTGTTTTGTTTGTGATTCTGTGGTTCAATGACAGAACTGTTATCACAATCATAAGTTTATATATGGAGTTTTACATAAAAATATTTAACCTCATGGTATTTTCTCAGTGATGCTGCACTGGCAAGTTTTGTAAAGAGAGGCCTTTAAATCATTTGCCAGCCAAGAAGTGTAACAATTTTCTTAGGCTATAATCTTCAGGGAATGTGTTACTAAAGAATGTATCTCTTAATGAAGCCAAGGTCTGATTGCTGGAAGCTCTGCTCTATCAATGGATAAATTTTTAGACTGAGATGTTTCACTGTCAAATTACAATATACACACACATATGTGCATGCATTTGTATATGTGTGTGTATATATATAGATATATATAAGCCTTTGAGAGAAAAGGGAGTTCAAACTACTGATACATTTCTCTAGACAATATTTTGAAATGCATTTGGTTTTACGCTAAAACCAACAACTGTCATACAACATAAAAACCATTTTGGGCTATAAAATGCAGTGTAACAAAACAATTGTATTTGTAACTTGTGGGACCTGATTGGCTTTTAACAGAATAGAGAAGATCCACAGTAAACAACGCTGTAAATCCTAATACACCGAATTACTGTCCCAGCATAAAACCTAATTGCTAATTATAATGAAATACATTTTATGTTACACGACAATTCATACCGCCACAGTATAAGCTGCACATCCTCTGAAGATGGAATTGAACAATACACCTTCTGTTCTAAGTTATTTCGTACAAACAGTTATTCAGATCACACATCTCAATATTCAAACCCAATATGCTGATTGGAAAATGCTGATATTTAATTAAGCAGTAGTTACGCTACCAACTCTAGAGTCATAGAAAACACATAATTTGCTTACTATAAGTTCAAAAATATCCATAAAGACAGAGTGGCCTTTGGGTGTTTTTTCATTGAGGCTTGCAGGAGACCAAATCCAGTAGAAATATGTACCATCTGAAGAAAGATGCACGGTAGTCATGGTACTGCCAACTGGGAAGTGATTTAGTGGCATTGGGATTATTTGACATACCTACGAGACAGAGAGCATCTTAACAGTTCTTATTTTGAAGTTTGTTCTTATTGAGTATTAACAATGTACTTAAAGATGAAGTGCAGTTAGTCCAGAAGAGGCTTATTATTGGACATAATAGTAACAAATAAAGCTAACAGTACTAAGAGCTGCTCCATAATGTTTGCCAAATGGATCTACTGCAAACAAAACAGCTTATATATCTAAACATTTAAAATATCTAAAAATAAAAGTATCATCTCCTCTCTAATTGAGAGCAGAGCCACAGTACCATAAGGACAATATACATGCTAAAGAGTTATCTACTTTATGCAACTTCTCTGAAACTTTCCTTAAAACTTTGGAAGAGAAGGGGAACCCAAACATTCTCAGTTTCATGAAACACACAGGATATAAATGTGCATATCCTTAAAGCCATGACAGGAAAAAACCCAAAGTAAACAAACTATCCACTTTTACCAAAGAAGGCTTTTGTTTATCTACAAAACACAATTTGATCAGAAACAGTACCTGAATTTTGTTACAGTAGGAGAATAACGAGCTGCTCGGGAAGATCATGCTTTCAATTTAAGTCACAGTCCATTTTGCTGTTGTTTGATTGTTTTATAACGTGACCAGACTACATTTGAGCTCCTACAATACTACTGGGAATGTAGTACGGTGGAAGTCTGTATATGCATCTACAAATATGTGTATATACACATACACACACACGCATCTGTATACACACAGACTAACACACGGGAACAGAGTAACATCCATCACTCACAAGTTCTATCACTCAACGCTTTCAGGGGGGGTTACAAACAGGCAGTTTCACAAAGTAAAAAGAAGAAACTTCAAGGACAAAACTAATTAAAAGCTAGAAACGATAGCAATTAATTAAAGATAGTTTTCTTACTCTACTACAACTCTGCAATGAACATCCTAGCTGTTCCTTTTACCTGAAGGGTATGCTGATCCACAACCTGGAAAAGGGAGTGAGGCTTATTATCAAAAGAGACGGGCCGATGGAGAAGTTTGCTGTTGCCAAAAGCAACCCACCCTGCCTCCAGCTCCTCATTACGGCAGTACACAAAACCTCTGGCAAAAAAGCAGTATATTAAAACTCTTTGAAACTCTGGGCTATTTTTCTGTTTTTCTAAGAACAACTCACAACCCCGTTCTTGAACTTTGACTGAACTTAAATTCCAGTCAGCCTAAGGTAGCAATTTCTTAAAGCACTAGCAACCTCATGACTTCCAAGCAATAAAGAAGCCAGAAGGTACAGTGAGTCACATCTGCACCGATCATTTGTATCATGAGTGGCATAATTAGAAAACAAATACTTACAAATGCAGCAATTGTACAGTTATAAATAAAAAGGTCACAAAACTAGTCTGTAATATATCCCTCTGAGCAAAGAATAAACCGATTTACTACACATTAAAAAAACAAAAGAAAATCTAAAATACGAGCTATTCAGCCAGTATACCTCTTGGCAGGAGGCTGGACTAGATGGCCTCAATGGTCCCTCTGTCAGCCTACATTGTTCTACACTTCCAGAGAAAACGTACTCAAGAAGAATTTCAGATGAGAAAACCGAAACATTAAAATAGCATTTAATGAAAATGCATAAGATGGTCTACTCTTGTTACACCCAACACCTGAGAGAGGTTTACCAAAACAACTTTTTTTTTTTTAAACAGAGTTGCAGAATAGCAAATATTCAACTGTCACTTACCGCAAAGTACCATGTAATCCAGATCCTAATTTGCTTATTCCTCTGCCCACTGAATTAGTTGTATAAAGATAGAGCCCATCCGCTGCAAGACAGCGCCCTAAGTCTGCATCTGAATCAGGAAGACAGAACAGAGCAGAGACCTCCTCTGTAACACACAGAACTGGAAATTCTCCATGGCCACCACACTTCTGGGGTCGCTATCACAGCAACTGAAAACCAACAGATGCTCAGGACAGGTCATTACTGATGGCTCAGAACCATTTTTTTAATGCTGAATTTATTATGTGGTGTTGTAAGAGCTACTGTAACATAGTCAAAGTCCGTTCTTTTTACAGTGGTTTCTTTACACCTCTTTCGAGCCTTATGGAGGTGCCCAGATTACACCCAACGCACTCACACAAATACTAGAGCTACTGAAACCTCCTGCTGTTGCCAAATAAAAAGAACTAGGTGTTAGTCACTCAGCTTCTCTTTTGAGACAATAAATTACATTAGTGATGTTTTTTCATTATTCAAATGTACATAACCCAGGAGAAATAAATTATTCAGAAATGGATTGTGTTCCCATTTCAGTGTTAAAGACCTGTCTTTGGGTATTATGGCTCAAGCTCCTGTAAAAAAAAAAAACATTAAGTTTGAACTGGCTTTTTCTGCACACTATTGAAAACTATAAATACAGTAGGAACTAGCCTAGCATACCCAACCACGCTAAGGAACCCAGGACTATTCAACCAAACTCGTTTCAAGTGGAAAATTCCTTTATTTAAATATAAAACAACTTGAGTATTTGCTATTAAATGCCTTCAGAACAATGCAAAGGAGCAGAAGACCGTTCTCTTCTGCTTTTGCAACACGTAGTGCTGTTCAGGACTCAGAACTGGCAGCAAGATAAAATACAAGCAAGGCTTATTTTATTATTATACCGTGCAAGCCTTCCTGCTCAGGACTGGTTGTATAACACATTGTTTGTGGGGAAGGAATAATCTAATACTGAGCCTTGATCTAATTTCTGCTACAACTCGGTGCTTCTCTTAAAGCTAGTAAGCAGAATCCTCCACCTCTGAACGCTGTTAAATCAAGACAAAACACATTTCAAACACAGCTTTGTCACTCACAAAGTAGTAATTTTTAACAATCCAGATGGGCCACACAAGGCAAAGCCTTCTAACAGGGATGTCAATAAACCAGCCCAGTCAACCTCCGTAAGTTCACAGAATCTAAACTGTCTGCTAGGGAAAGGAAAAAAAAAAAAAAAATCTAAGCACTCCCATAGCAAGAAAATCCTCTTCAAAATACTGATGTCTTCATTAAATTTGCAGATAGCCTAAAATGACAACTCAGATTTGTAAATTCCTATGGCTTGCATTAAATTTAATGAGATGTCATCAAACCTTGAGCCAATATTTCTAAAGCAATGTGAACCTCCTTGTTTAGTGCAAAAATAGTAACCTAACAAAGCAGTGAAAACTGAGAACTAATCCAGGGAAAGAAAGTCAAGAAAGAAGCATTAAAAAACATACAAAACAGATTGGACAGAAACAAAAGTAGAATAGGAAAAGGGGAAAAAAAAAAGGCAATGAACTTGTACTTCTAAAACAAACATGCTCTGCCAATGATAGCTACTGAATACAGTGATACTGCACAGGACCAAAAAAATTATGCTTACTGAAAGACTGAGTGGATAATATCCAAATTTAGTCTGACCTCTGCAAAATGCCTGCTGAAGTCAGGGAAGGTCACTGAATCTACTGCTTTTGATGGTTTCCTCCAACATCATTATTAGATGAGTTAAAATATCATCTGGTCTTCAGCAATCGAAAAGCAACATTTTTCTGAACCCCATCCTCTTGCATTTGAAAAAATGATATGCCATACTATCATTAACACACCAGACTTTATATTTACCCCCTTAATTTTACTATAAAACAGGACACTTTCTTCTACCTGATCCCCAAATCAACTTGAAAAAAAGGCAAACAAATCACATAGATCTAGTCAGATTAGCTTAATGAGGATAGGTTTGACAAGCCAAACAATGCAAACAATTTAGCACTCCTGTAAATTAGGTCCATGTTTTCAAAACGCCAGTTTTGAATGTACAGTCTAAAGGCAGAGTGCCCAGACAGTTGCTGCCTTCCCCCTCTTTGAGATGTTCCTGTGGTGCCCTGCTCTCTCACCAGATGGTCCTTCTAAACCCCTCAGCTTTCAGTTATTGTTACTTACTGTACTCGCTTTTACATTACTTCCAACAGAAAAGGAGAAATCCTTTCCAACTCTAAAGCTTTACATTATTTTTTTAAACAATTATCACCACAAAAAGCATCTTCTCCCCCCCACACTAATATTGACATCCATGACAGAATTCACCTTTATTTTCACTGCTGGAGCTACTGTTGGCATCGGGTGCAGGTAACATATCTTCAAAGCCCCAAGACACTATATGCTTTCCTCCAAGCAAACAAGAGGGTGATCCAGGTCCCCCCTCCAAAAGCAACAACCTTTAATCAGAAAATATAATGAAATGTATAGAGAACAGCAGTAGCAAAAAATAGCTAAATCAAAAGATGAAGATATATTTTAAGTAATTATTCTGTCAGAGTTCATAAGCCAATTAAAGGAATCATCAATATTTAATTAAAATAATAAAAACTTAACACCCAAAAAACAATTAGAAGATCCTTTTAGGTTTGACTTTCTAATGTTTTCCTTCTGCAATTGAGTAAATTTCGATCTTTCCTAGAGCTTTCAATAACTCTAAAGCCTTTTAATCACATTTAAAGACATTTATTTGTAAATGCACTTTTACACCAGCTCTGAAAATGTGTTCAGTGCTACAGCTAGAAAAGTCACTACAAACCTGTATAAGACATCAGCCACAGGCAAGGATCCTAGATCGGTCTGTTTCTGCAATAGATGCACTGTATGAACAAAGGTTTTCAGCGACCCTCTAAAAGGATAAGAGAAACATGAATTAAAGATGTCTATTGAAACCAGACTGAATGCACACAGACAACAGCATCCACGCAGAATATCATCTCCAGTACCATAGAGAGGCTATCCGAGATACGTCATCAAGCTGCTGCTCTAATTTGCATTTCTTTTCTGGATGATTTTCATTCTTTTGTGGAGGAAGCGAAAAGAGGAAGAGAGGGTAACAGCAAGGAAGAATGCCAGGGTAAATCATAGTAGCTTTTTGGGAGAGGATGAAGCACCACGCAGGTAGGGCTGTGTCACAAACAGCACGTACGGTAAAGGCAGCCTAGGCACAAGACAAAATTCTGTAATCTTGTGTCTATTACAGATAGCTACTTTCAGTATTTCTTGTAGCTGATTAATTGTATTTAGATCTTCAAATAAAATCTGCGGGTCTTCCTGGGGCTGAGCCAAAGTATGCGTAAGCGCTGCTGCAGACATAGCTAGAGATCGCTTTCTTGACTAAAATAGAAAAGACCAAACTAATTAATTTATTATCAAGAGTCTGATTACTTTTGCTTCCAAACACAAATTTGGAAGCTTTTCCCCTTCTGAAGTGATGCACTTAAATGTATATAAGGACTAGATACTTCTGAAAACAAAAATTGAACCAAAGTAGAAGTTGTTTCTAATCTTGCCTAGAAGCGTGTTGCTTTAAAATTTTATCCTGGTATTTACAAACATACGGAATTTGCAACTCTGATTATAATTCTTGTTCATTCATAAATTGAATACTTTCTTTCGAGAATCTATGAAATCTGTATGTTAATATAGGGGAAAACATCTGTTTTTTGTAGAAATAAAGAGATATAGAGGTCTTTAAAAAGCATATTTTACAGTTTCTGTTTTAAAGGTCAGGTTATTAGGAAGAAGTCATTTTCTGAAAGACGTGGAGGCTTTATTTCCAGGCATAATAGCCCAGCTAAAGAGGAGAATCCTGATTGCGTCTTAGACGTGATAATAGTCAGCTATGAATTGATTTCTTCAGAAGCATGACTGATAAATTGAAGAGATTATTTCCATGCACTCTACTGAATACAGCCTTTTGCTTTCTGTCACACACGGTCAGTCTCAGCTCCACAACTGTCTAACAGCACCTCCTCCTCCACACCCCAAGCCCTCTTTTCCCCACTGTAATTTTCAGCTGTATGCTCTCACTGAAAAACCTCAGCTCGGAGAAAATTGACACCAAATACTTCAAAGCACCTCGATTAATTATTTAAAGCAATATTCACCCTGTTGTTTTATTCTTAGTAATACGAAGCACCCGAGATTGCAAGTAGGAATCTCAATAATAGTCTCATTTTTAAAGGCTTTTTCTTCATAATGGTACCCAACACATGACTTACATATTTAAAGGAAAAATGCAAGGCTTTCATGGGTGAACAAAGCATTTCAGGATATTACAAGTCTGTAAGCAAGACAGATTTGCGAAGAAAATATATGATCAACCTTCATTTTAAAAGCTGTATTTGAAATTCAGCTCTTTTACAAATTCAGCTCCAAAAGAACATCCCATACTGCCTGAAAATTGACATCTGGAAAAAAGATAAATGAGATCCTGTTTATCAAAACCAATTTATCTGAGCTATGTTCAAGTACATTGCCTTTTAGATGCGGCAGTTGTCAGTGCAGAAGAGTTTGGCACATACAGTGGATTTCTCGTTGACTTCATTAGAACAAGTACACTAGAAACTAAGTGTTTTTCATTTGAAGAAACCTTTTTCTAAAGCAAATCATGGCATCTCCTCCGAACTTCAACATCTTAAATCAGAGTTAAACTTGACAGACAAGACTGCAATTTGAGAAACATTAAAGCCAAGATTTTCACAAGGCGACTGGTGGCTTCAGACCCACACTCATACGGCTTTGCAGAAGCCAAGTTTTCTATAATCCTCCCGCTCTCCCCAAGCGCCACCCCCTAAAACGAGTAAGTTTTTATTAAAAGCTATTATGGCTGTGAAATCCATAATATGAATGAAATCTAGAACAGTGAAATCCGAAAGGAATGGCCCTGAAACTTGGGAGTAACGCCTTCTACAGGCAAGTGAAGGTGCATTAGTGACAGGATTAAAGGGGCAGTACAAAGGGAAAAGCGAGACCACCTTCCTCCGTGACAAACCTATCTGGAACCATTCCTAGAACAGATCACTGCAGTAGAAGCAGCAATATGCACAAGAGGCATTTCTAACCTAGATCCTTCTGGTTTTACATATGCTAAACACATGCAAAAAACAAATGCTAGTTTATCAGTTTTACCTTTTCCAAACCAATATTTAAATATTAGAAAGAAAAAGACTTGTGTAAAGCAAAAATTAGTATCAACAGTGTGATCGCATCATTTTCGATTTGCACATTTAAATAGAAACACTTACAGCATTTCAGCAGTTTCCTTACCTTGCACAAGCCAAGGCAACTAGGGCTGCAGCAGCATTTTCTTTTTGCTTATATGGAATCTGTTGGCCTGTAGCAGAAGTGTCTTCCAGCCAGGAGCACAGCAAGGATTCTATCCCGTTAAGACAGTCAGCTGGTTCCTTAGTCAAACTCAAAGGCTGGCAGTCTCGAAGGCAATTCAATAGCACCTCAGCGGTTATGTTACAGAGAGAAGGGTCTGTTCTACTTTGAGACTGGATGAGGGGAAAGACCAACAGAAGCCCCATGCGGGAAGTAAACGGTGCCTGTTCAGGCTGCTGTAACAAGCCCTGCCGTTTGAGCAAGGCCAGTGCTTCTTCGTCCCCTGAGCTCTCCCGGTCATGCTGCTCCTCCAAGGCCAGCTGGCGCTGGGCGTTCCAGAGTCCACGCAAAGCATTCAGTCGGTACTCCAGCAGTCGAGCATAAGCATTGCTCTGGTTCCCGCACACGGATCGTAAGCGCTCAGCCAGCTCAGTCGGATTCTTGGTCTCAAATGTTAGTATCTGAAAGGAGGGGGAAAGTTGGTATTTATATAGGCTTTCTTAAGGGAAAAAAAACAGTAACACGTGCCTGCAGTATGATTCCTAGATCAGCTGTCCTCTACAACAGATTGGGGGATTTTTTTTTTTTTTTTAAATTTCTAGGCACAAAAAAAGTTACATTGGAGGCCAAAGCGCATGCAAGTGGTATGGAGTCTGTTCGTGTTGAGTCAGCATTGTCATTGAAACCTGCGCTTGGGGGTTGCTGACAGAGATTTTTCATCTTTCAATCGCAATGCTAAACTAACAGTAATACAGATTGTACAGAAAAATACATATGAAATAGTATCTTTGAAAATAAAGACTCGCCTTCCCTGGAGCATTTTTTTTTTTTTTTTAATCGAGGCAATTTTGCTAAGAACTTCAAAAGGACTGAAAGGGTGGAGGGTCTCAGGGGCTGAGTTTAGAGCCCTTCTATGGAAACTAATAGGTCAACAATACCTTGTAATAAGAATTACACATGTTCTAGTTTTACAGCTTTTCAAACAAACAAACAAACAAACCAACCAGTTCTCTAAAATGAACCAAGAATTTCGTTATACCTTCTCACTCCCCTCTTTTTTTTCCCCTCCTCAATTTTATCATATTGCACTCAGCTACATCTCCCTCTAAATATTTCCCGTTGCTGCCACAGTTTAAAAACCTGAAAGTCTCATCATCACCATTTCAGACAGAAGAAAGGGGCCCTTTTGGCACTTCCAAGGAAAATTTGAGATAAAGCTGGAACAACAGAAAACACATAAACCATAACAGAAACAAACATATTTATGGGTTAGCACCCAGCCTGGTACTTGAAAGAACTCACGATTTTAAGTAAATTACAAACAACCCCAAAATTAAGGGAAGGAGAATGTGAGAGATCACGAGATGCAATGGGTAATTTCATACAGGGTTGTTGGTTTTGCTCTTTTTTTTTTTTTATTGTAGGCAGTAGTCATACAGAATATGAAATAGATGTTTATGTCTAATTGTAGAATTTTGAACAGCTTGACAAAACGCTTCAGGACAAATCACATCTGCCATTTCTACACACACCATTACTGAAGTCAATGAAACAGCTTTTCAGTAGAACACTTATCATTGCAGTCATGAAAAGTTCACTTTGAAGTAATTCACATAATAATTACACTTGAATAGATGTTAGTATTGAGCTCCTTAAAACTCAAGAATATATTTTAATTAATTTCTTCAAAGAGATTAAGACTATTAATCCCTAAACCACATACTATACATTAAAATAACCACCTCATATTAATTTGCGCGTTCTGTTGTCTCCGAAATAAGTTTAATTGCTCTCTATTATAGATGCAACCTGAAACTTTCTAAACCAGTTTGCTTTTGACTTTCTTGAACTAAACTACATATGTGATGGATCCTCAACGAAGCAATAACAAGCTGCAGAAATGTTTTCACTTTGAGAGTTAAATGCTGAGGAAAATAGGTCTGTGGTCTTTGGCTATGCTAGTAACAAAGACACCACAAAAGGCAAGTTGTGGTACGCTTAGCTGGCTGTTCCTTTTAGATTATAATAAATACTGCTTCCAGAGGGGGGTGGGTGAGCTGCCTAGAGGCTTCTCCCCTTCCCATAAACATAGTGGAATCCTGCAATCTGTGCCAGGTCATATTTCAAGAAGTACACCGTTATGTTAATTCAAAAACTTTGTACAAGCTCATGCGGACTTTGAACTAAATCTGTGCCCACTATGATAACCAGCAGAAGGTTTAAATATTCCAATATTCACCAAACACATGAGAATTGCTTTATTTCAGCCAAACTACAAATGCAACTAAAGACTGAGTTCCAGCTGCAACTGATGATGCTCCTAAGATCTCACCACAGACCAGAGAACTGTTCAGGTTCTCAGTGGTTAGCAAAACCACCTCTTTCCAACCCAACACCACTGACAGAGCTTCAGTTGGTCTGTGCTACATATCCTGCTTCCCTGTGGATGCTCTAAAGACTTCACAAGGAATCACAGCCCTTGCCAAGGTCTCCTCAGCACGCTGACTACAGTCCTCTCGTGTCTTCAGACAAAGCTTGTTATCTTGAAGCTATCTGAAATCAAAGCAGGTTAAAATAAAATGCAAGAAAAATCATCATGATGAGCAATGAAGCTGTTCAAAGGTGTCTCTTCTCCTAGTTATATATCGCAAGTGAAAGCCTTTAAATCTCCAAAATAGCATTTAATTTTTCTCTACATAATTAAATTGGCTGAACTTCACACATAAAGAGAACAACTTATGGAAGATGGTGGTACATTTACCAATATCAATTAGATCCGTAATAGCCCCTTGAGTATTAAATAAGTATTATTCCCATCTCATGGGAGGAACAAACCATACAAAAAAACCCAGAAACAACCTCAAAATCATAAGATACCTTTAATCGTGGCATGAAAAAAATTAACTACATTACTTTCAACACCATGTTACAGCTATTAGGTCATTTCTCTGGTACCGCAGAGTTAACATATCAGGGGCACTACTTGTTTACTTGGCTCTTTTGTCTCTAGACATATAAATAAAACAATGTAAAAGACTGAATTACAAGATTTATAGATTATTCTATAAGAGAAATACCAGAACTGACAGTTTTAAGGTATTCTGAAAATTGAAATACACATCAAAACATAAACCGTCCCCATAAACAACATTGTATACACACTCCTAGTCCTCCCCTTTCTCTTGCTCTGCTGAGTAACAGCATTTCTGCCTACGGCAATTTCTGGAGACACACAGCAGGAAGCTGTCTTAGTGCAAACACTGCCTTGATTTCTTTTAAAACATTTTTCTAAACCCTGTATTGAGCTTTTTGTTTGATAAGCCTTTGTGTTTGTAAAATATATAAATATGTGCAAACATTTTCATCCTGATGTTTTAGATGCTGCAACTTTATAGGTTCTTAGGAGTTGCTGCATACCTCACATTACGCTTTTAGTGTTGCAGTCAAAAACTACAACTTTCAAGACCATTCTGATTTTCTTCTGCTCCAAGAAATTTTAACCGTATCACCTTGTTCAAAGCCTCTACTGATTCATAATCCCGTCTATAGCAGCACAGATTTTTAACAGCTCAGCTAAAAACATGAACTATTTTCCCGTGTGGAAGCATTAGAAACCTAATTACTGGCTTAGAAATAAGCACGAACAAACCTGTCTCTTTCACCACATACACCATATTGTACCAAGCAACTTTTTGTAACCAGACAAACTTATCAAATAACCTCGATATCTGAGATGAATTACAGAGTACAGGAGAGCTGTAAAAAACACACAGACAAAAATGCTATAAAACACAGTGTTGTTTCTTTATTAAAATACGTCTTTGGCTCTCATCTAAGTAGTAGATGAAAATGTCTGAAAAAGGTAAAGAAAAATCTTTGTCATTTACACATCTGAGAGCGCAGACCACTGAACTGATCAGCTGCAACTGGTGATAAGAACTATGCTTGGGAAACATGTTTGCGAAATCATCCTTTAGAAGAAGTTTTCTAATATTTCTCTAGTAGAATAACTAAAACGACTTTAAAAATAAAAAGACAGGAAGTATGGTAGTCCGTATTACAGAAGTTTAATCAATACAAACAGCTCATTTTATGACAACTGATAACAACAGCAATCCTGCTGGAGATTAAATCACACAATATTGGTGGTTTACACAATTATCTAATGAAAGTCAGCTTAAACGGAATGCAATCAAGGTTTCAGAGCTGTCTCATAAGGCAAGCGAGTGACTTACAGTGATGCCTGAAAGAATGCCATCCACTCCTGCGCAGAAGTAACAACCTCCTGTGCAGAATCCACTTCAAGAACCAGCTTCCTCTGGTGCTACTCTGAAAGCTATAAGCGCTCTCAAAGGGGAATGCCGGAGTATCTGAAGGGGAAGGGGATGCACAAGGCAGGGCCAGGGAAGTTACAAGCCTGACATACATGCCTGGATCAGCAGTTCCCAAGCTAGAGGTCGTAACCCCCAGAGAGGTCATCCACTTAGTAAAAAGTCAATTGTTTATGCTGGCATCAGGGATTTTTATCTTGACAGAGGTGAAGCTTGTAGATGGAAGTAAGGTCACAACCAGCAAGGTTTGGGAAGCACTGACCTAGGATAATTACAGAAAACTACTCTCTCCTTCAGCAATCAGGGAAAAGCGACAAAATGTTTCTGCTAGCCTGCGACGAAAATGGGTGAAAGTTTCAAGTTCAGCAAACACCTTCAAGTCTAAATCATTTTGACAGAAAACACAAGCTGGGCACAGCATTGGCACATCCTGTTAAAACAGCACTGGACTTGGGATATTCCAGCTCTCCCTCGAGGGCTAGCCCAGACCATACTGGGGGGAAGAGGAAAGGACACCACCTTTTTTTTTTTTTCTTTCTTATTTTACACTTACATGTGATTAAAAATACATATCAGCAGTGCAGAATGACAGCTGCCCAGTGGCAACTCATACTCTGTCCTACAATGACAGAGCTTGACAAGAGCCAAAACATCTGATGAGGGCAGATATATACATGATCCAGATAACTGCTGAGGTAGGAGCTACACTTCCAGCTTCATTTTTAAAACTTTTTAAATAAAAAAAAATAATAAAAAATTCAGGTATTGAGAATCTTTCCAGGCTATGCAGGAGAGCAGCAAGACCAGATAGCCAAATGACTCTCCTCTCTGTTAGGCTGTTATGGAAAACTCAGAGCACTTACGAGTTAAGCGGA